TTGCGTCGATGTAGAGTTTTTCTGCGGTCTATAGTGTGGGATGTTTGAGTCAGCATGGGGTTCAGGCGGGTTTGTTTGAGTTTGTGCATCTTTCGTTGCTTTCTGGCTGCTCTTTACTACAGTTGAGAAGGATGGGCCGGGGAATGATCTAGCTTGAACAAGCTTCCTGGCCTCTGGATAGGGAATATTATTAGTATATTTAATTCTCTGGATTTCCTTCTCCTGTCTCCAAGTGTCGCATTCCTTGGAACTAGCATGATGTTCTTTGCCGCAGTTTACGCAGTGCGGAGTGGCCTTGCACTCTGATTCCCGGTGGGAGGAGTCGCCACACCGGCCACAGATTTGGCTTCGAGAGCATCTGTCTTCATGATGGCCGTATTTTTGGCATTTGTAACATCGGAGGGGATTTGGTATATATACCTCAACCTTAACTTGTAAGAAGCCAACCTTGACCACTTTAGGTAATATGGGCTTATTAAAGGTGAGTATAATAGTGTTGGTGTCCTGCAGATTGTTGTTTCGTTTGATACGAATTCTACGGACTGCAGTGACACCTTCAGTTTTCATGCCCTCGACGATGTCCTTGTCGCAGACTCCAGCAAGGTCACGGCAACGAATGATGCCTTTTGATGTATTAAGTGTAGAGTGGGCGGAGCAGGTTACTGGAATATCGTGAAACGATTTAATTTTCAGTATATTTTCAGTTTGAGCTTTGCGCTCACACTCTACAAGTAGGTCACCTGATCTTAGCTTCTTCACACTTTTTGGCTTGCCGACTAATCCAAGTATAGTCTTTTCGACTATAAATGGTGACAATGTGGCAAGTTGTTTAGTTTCGTCTTTTGAATGGATGACCATGAAGCGAGGAAAGGATTCCACACTACATGGTTCATCATCCGACTCTGATGACACAGTTTTGGTACGTTTGGGAGTTTTTTTTTTAAAATTCTCCATGATGGCAGTTTGAAAGATTCAGCACCCGTGCTCCCCACCCACCAAGGAGCCCAACAAGGGGACACTTTCCAAGTGCCAGGGATACACAAACACCATACTCAGTTGGTAAAATTACCTTTGGTTAACCCTGAAGTTGCCAATTTCGAAGGTCAGTAAATATACCCCCCGATTGACCCGTTAAGCCACCGCCTTCTAGGAAGTCTTCTAAGATTTAAGAAAGGGAAAGATATAGGAATAGAATATAGGGGCAACGGTGGTATCAAGCGAGATACAAGAATAAAGTAAAAGGAGGTGAGAGAGATAATTAAGACTTCCTAGGGCTCGGCGTGACCAGCCGATTTGTCGAGACCGGGCCCATCTCAACCACCCGTCTTAAGTGAAGTAGAGGCCAAAGTAGTGTGTTGCAACTACCAGGATCCTTTCCTCCTCCGTTACGGGTCGCAACCCACGGCAAACAGGTTGCCTCTACTTAGTCGCCTTTTACGACACGTGGCGAGGCACGGCGGGCCAATTCTACAACCCCGGACCCGCAGGGGGATAGACAGAGAGAAGGGAGGTGTTGCGGCTGAAATCTTGTGTTGTGTTGTATACTTGATATAGTGATAATAATAATAATAATAATAATAATAATAATAATAATAATAATAATAATAATAATAATAATAATAATAATATTAACGAGGACTTTATATAGTGCCTAGTCTTTAAAAGCTCTAATATATATATATATATATATATATATATATATATATATATATATATATATATATATATATATATATATATATATATATATATATATACATATATACATACATACATACATACATACATACATACATACATACATACGTGTTATTGTCTCTGCTACTTTTATATGATGTAAATTTAGTTGTTTTTATAATATATAATTTTGAAACAGAAAAGGGATACTTTCTATGATGGTCTATAACAGTCCGTACATCTAAACTCAACACCTGCACTCCGATCGGTTGCAAAGGATAATAATACTAGCATAGGATCTCTGTATGACGTCACAGTTAAACGTGTACATAGCTCAGGTTGACCGATCCACGAAGAAACTACATGTAGACGAAACGTATTACCCAAGGAACCGCTTGCTAGTTGTACGGGAACGTTAAAGGGCATTAAAGATAACAAAGGAAGGCCTGTATGGTATCAACTCAAATCAAGATAGATAAAAATTTGTCCTATTCGATTGTTTGGTTATTGTCCTGTATTTTTGTAGCATAGTGATATTTTCTGAGTGCCTCTAGTTCCCAACCGTGTTGTTGCTGTTATTATTATTATTATTATTATTATTATTATTATTATTATTATTATTATTATTATTATTATTATTGTTGTTGTTGTTGCTGCTGCTATTGTTGTTATTGTTGTTGTTATTATTATTACAAATAGGATTGTTACTATTTAGTTCAAAACAATCTGAATCAGTATCATTAAATAATGATATTTACATTCTTATATATGGATTTTGTATACGAATAATGACAATAACATTCTAATATATGGATTTTGTATACGAATAATGACAATAACATTCTAATATATGGATTTTGTATACGAATAATGACAATAACATTCTAATATATGGATTTTGTATACGAATAATGATTATAACATTCTAATATATGGATTTTGTATACGAATAATGACAATAACATTCTAATATATGGATTTTGTATACGAATAATGATAATAGCATTTTAATAAATGGATTTTATATGCGAATAATGATTATAACATTCTGACATATGGATTTTATATAAGAATAATAATTATAACATTCTAATATATGGATTTTATATACGAATAATGATAATAACATTTTAATATATGAATTTTATATACGAATAATGATTATAACATTCTAATATAGGGATTTTATATACGAATAATAATAATAACAGATTAATATATGGATTTTATATACGAATAATGATCAAAACATTCTGATATATAGTTTTTATACGATTAATTTTAATAACATTCTAATATGTGGATTTTGTATACGAATAATGATAATAACATTCTAATATATGGATTTTATATAAGAATAATGATAATAACATTCTAATATATGGATTTTGTATACGAATAATGACAATAACATTCTAATATGTTGATTTTGTATACGAATAATGATAATAACATTCTAATATATGGATTTTATATAAGAATAATGATAATAACATTCTAATATATTGATTGTTTATACAAATAATGATAATAACATTCTAATATGTGGATTTTGTAGACGAATAATGATTATAACATTCTAGTATATTGATTTTATATACGAATAATGATAATAACATTTTAATATATGGATTTTATATGCGAATAATGATTATAGCATTCTAACATATGGATTGTTTATACCAATAATGATAATAACATTCTAATATATGGATTTTTATATACGAATAATGATTAAAACATTCTGATATATGGATGTTATATACGAATAATGATAATAACATTCTAATATATGGCTTGTTTATACGAATAATGATAATAATTTTCTAATATATGGATTTTATATAGGAATAATGATAATAACATTCTCATATATGGATTATATATACAAATACGTGTAGCAGGACTTTTCTTCATATATCTTCTAATTAACCGGTATCAATATTTGTTTGGTAAAATTAGCCTTTTACTTGCCATTGTGCGATAATGTATTGTTATTAACAAGTAAAATTTGCTTGGTTTTTTTTAGTCGAAATTAAAACTAGTAATTAACAAGGAATGGCAGACTGTAAAAAGTCAGTCAAAGTTCATATATGCAGAAATTATTAGCGTAGTTGAGAGTTGCTAGAGACGACTGAATAGTTCATAATATTACATTTAGTATAATAAAAGTATTATTTTTACATATTCCTATCTGTATTTTCACATTGGTATTGATTCCCTGATCTTGTGTTAATCGTTTCTTAGGCAATTTATACTTGTTGAGAATTTTCAGTCTTGCTGAAAAAAAAACCCTAATGTAATCGATACCAAACTTGACGTGCTTGAGAAGTAACTTTTATAGCAATAAATGAGTAAATAAAGTCGGAGGACTTTATGCAAACTTTGTGAGTGATTAGGTCAAAATTACACATGGATAAATACCCAACCATGATCATTTAATCCTTATAATTCCAATTTACTTCCTTTCAAACATCAGGTCGGAAGATTTAATCAAGAAAACATTAATTTTTTATGCGCCTAGTAGTTCTCTTTCATTAGAATCTAACTGCGATAGAATACATAGCCTTATAGCCTTATCTTCGCTAGCCAAGATTCATTGATTCTTTATACAGTGATACTGGGTAGAATGGTTGTTGCGGTTTAACCAGGAATATTGCTCTTTTTGAAAATTACCCTTGCGTATAGTACGTGTTGCTATAGCAACGTCGTTGTTACTTTCTATGCATTTCGATCTTCCAAAAGCAAAATCGAGTCTATTTTAGTGAGATATTTTGGTAGACGTATGACCCTAACCTTTAATTAACCGCTGCGGTAAAAAAAAAAAAATGCTGTAACATTTCTGAAATGCAATAATTTTGGAAGATTGGCTTCTAAAGCCTTCTTCGGCAAAAGGGGTGAGTGTTGGTGTACGGGGTCTGTGCAATTCCATTGATATAACTTCTAATTCTCGATTCTGATATGTGGCTTGTCATTTTTTGATCGGAAATCACAGGAGTGGGTGGGTGAAAGCTTGTTATTATTATTAGGGTTTAAAGTGTTCATATAGGTGTGGTGTGTGTGTGTGTGTGTGTGTAGTGTGTGTGTGATTTAGATTTGTAACGTAGCTTTAATAATTTTTCAGTCATATCGCTACGATATCTGCAATGTTACAGTTTACAGTGATGTCTAGCACTGAGACATCAATTGCCGCAGACTTGTGGCATGATGTCCCACCCAGTCACATTATCCTGACACCAGGTCAACCAGTCCTAACACTAACCTCTTAATGCTGAGCACCATGCGAGACAGCTGCTAGTACCATTTTTTAAAGTCTTTTGGTATGACTCGGTCGAGGTTCGGAACCTGCGACCTCCCGCATCCGAGGCGGACGCTCTAACCTCTAGACCACCAAAGCCGTCGTTGATATAGATAAAACTTCAAATCCAATGATCTGGACACTGTGAGGTAAAGATCGTCCGCAGATTGATCGATGTGTATAAAATTCCAGATCTGTATCACGTAACCATTGATAACGTGACCAATCAAAAACGTGGAAAACGCAGTTAATTCATAAACATTTGAATTATTATCAAATAATTATTGATATTACGAGTACCGAAATTAAAGCTCCCATTCAAAGAGCACATGTTTATTTTAGATACGCATGATGGTAATTTAGGTTCCAAGCGCATCCATTTCATCTTTATCATAAAACCTTGAAACTGACGGAGGAACATAGAAGAATCCAAAATAAAGATCATATTCAGTTTCATAATCAGTTAATTGTATCGACTTTAAACCAAAGAATGGAGTCGGATTTAATAAAAGTTACAGAAGGAGATATAATTCTTTCGGTAACACCACAGTTCGTCAAATATCTAGTAAGCTTCTTGTTTTTCTGCCAACCAGACCAGGAACCCCCTTCCACGTGACTATTCCCAACGACGTCTCGGCAACAATCGCTTATGAGACAAATTACGCAGGTATAGGATATTGTAATAAGCAGCTGAGTGGGGAAAAAAAATAGTCCGGAAAAAAAAGGTAGATCGACAATCGAAATTTTATAATTATCGTCAAGGTTTACTTTAAGGAAAAATCATGAGTGTATTCAAATATTTGAGCCAGAACATATATCTCAAAAATTTATATTCAATTAAACTTGTAAATCTCTTGACCGTATCTCAACAACTATTTTAATGGATTTTTTTTTTTTTAAAAAAAAAAAACTTTTTTAATTCATTGCTGAAAATAATTGGTTCTATACTATTGACTTCTCATGCGGATGCGCAAACAGATTATACGCTCGGTTTATATTTGTACTACTTTGATTGGTGTCCCTTTTTATGTCCCCGTTCAGATCGGGAAAGAAAGTTTTGCATAGAGAAATATCTTGATTTTTTCTCCCAGCGGTTTAAAAACTTAACGAATGAGCAATTTATGGATTATTACGAAAAGCTTTTTAAAAAAATCTGAAACGAACCAAAGTATTCAGTCCCGGGTTAGTTCCCGATGCCCTGCACATGCAGTGCTAAATGACGGCTCATCAGAGTTTTCTCGTTACCTACAATATCTCCCATTTCTTCCACCTGTCACTCGGTCTTGTGCAAACTAAAATGTCAGGGTACGTGGTAAACGTAAGTAGGAAATACTGTGCAATATACGTAAAATAAAGAAAAGCTACATTAATCCCTGTGATAAAAGAGCTTCCAACATATTGCCACATCTAAGCGATGAGTCGAGTGGCCGTGAAGTAAGCAGTCTTCACGGTGTTGACATAGATGATCCATGGGTTAAAATGATGGGCAATAAGCACACCATCAAAAGCATAAAGAATTACGAGGGATAGCGGTTCTCGTGCTACAAAGACAATTTTGAGCCATAAGAAGCTGACTAAAGTAAATATTTCAATATAATAAATATTTGTATAAATGATGGAAAGGAAATGGAGATAGAGATTAAGCTGGTGGTGGTGGTATCATTGTTGTTGATACTGTTTATGGTGATAAGAAGGAAGGGTAAGAGGCGAAGACTACGAGTACTAAAACACTAATACCACTCTTTAGATAATTTCATATAGAATCCTAAAATGGAGGAGGGGATTTGGGATGCGAATGACAATAGCGATGACGAAGACGATTTTATAAATTGAAGAAATAGAAGAATAGGGGTGATTATGGCAATGATTATGATGATCACGAACGATTTTATGACCACCACTGTAAAAAGTACCAAAAAAATTTACAGAAGTAAAAGTCAGCCGCCAGACTTGTTTCATGCCGGAATACGGGTTCGAACTTTGAGATTTTAGATTTTCAGTCTAACACCATCCCAATTTGTGTTTGCGCATTTAACAATGATATCAATGATTGACCTCAAATATTACTAAGATCTATCATATCCTGTGCTGACCACTTGCATCTGAAAAACTGATAATAAATACAGGGTTCATAAGTAGGGGGAGACTTGATTTCGTAGATTGACTTTAAAAAAGATTGGACGAAAGGCAATATTCGATCTACAATGTTTTGCCATGTTAGATATCATATGAAAGAATCTGCGTCATAACTTGCTTGTACTCCTTTATTTATCCAAATGGCTGGCAGCTACTTCCTTTTAGCGGAGGACAATTAACCTATATACGTTTGTCCGGTATAAGTAAGTGACATCGATACCATGTTTGACAGTATGTGTGTAACAAAACGAAGCTTTATATTTTGTTATTTGGTTGTTTGTTGTTGTTGTTTTTTTTGGTTTTTTTTTTCACTCATCGACTTAATGAAGCTCTGGTAACATGTATGGAACCCCAGGGCTGTCCTAAGATCAACATGGACTAGAATTACATGGTTACGTGGATTTTTTTTGGGGTGGGTGGGTATATAATTCCTTACTCGTTTACTCGAGGATACCAGAATTGTTTCGAACACGTATATATTGCCCTTATCTCAATCCGTTTTTATTGAGTGTTTTTTTTTTTCAATAGTAAAATAAATAGATACAACAACAACTGCATATACACGTGTATTTTGTGAACGAATTTGCGAACCTTAACACGTTGAAGAATTTCGATTTTCGCATTTAAAAGAAGAGGGAAAATGACTTACAATCTAAACGGAAATAATCACAAAGTGATTTTTGTTTAAAAAAGACACGATCTGTTAATGACCATCTGATTTTAGTGCTAATTTAATCAGCCACAAAATGTGCGGTACCTATGAAACCATTGTCAAATTGCCTATAAATTATACCATCTTTCAAAATACGTGCTTAACCACATCTCAGAAATTTTTACGATTGAAAGGATAGACAGCAAACTAAAGATCTAACGATAAAACCGCCATCTTCATCAATTAGATTTCTAAACTGCCCATAAGTATGAGTGGAGAAGGGGCAGCCGTTAATCAAGTCTCGCCTCACTGGAAACGGTGGATTCTTCTGTCGCTCGCAGTGGCTCGCTCGTCCACGAGTCACCTGTTCAAGGAAGCGTCTTTCTTTGAACTCGATTAAATGATGAAAGATTTCATTTATCATATTGTTCGACCCACTCTAGTTATCTCATACCGATAAAGTTTAATGGATCGATGTTTTATTGGCGGAGATGTGGTTGACAGCAGGGAATTCCGGACAATTTATCAAAGGTTTTCATTAGTGTCCAAAAACCAAATTTAGATTAATTAATAAAAGATGCGTTCCTATCAATTGTAATAGTTGTTGTAATAGTCGCATGAGTAAACGCTCTTCATGTACGTATAACTTTATCTTCGTTTTCTTTGCAAAAACTTTTCATCGGCATTATTATTATCTTCATTATTGACGAACATCATGATTGGCACTAGTAACATTAGTAGATTCAGCGGCGGAAGAATTTTTTTTATAGAAATCATTTTATCATTTGCTTATCTGATATATATATATATATATATATATATATATATATATATATATATATATATATATATATATATATATATATATATATATATATATGTATGTATGTATGTATGTATGTATGTATGTATGTATGTATGTATGTATGTATGTATGTATGTATGTATGTATGTATGTATGTATGCATGCATGTATGTATGTATGTATGTATGTATGTATGTGTGTTCAGTTTACAGATAAGTGGTCTACATGCTGAATTCATGTACAATTAATCACGAAAATAAGGAGTCCCTTATCAATTGCTGTATCAACTCTTATTCTTGTTGATATATTGTTTGCACCATTTTTCCCCCCGGACAGAAAAGAAAACTACATTTAACTTAATCAAAAGCAGTAGTAGCAGTATTCATCACAGTCGTTGTCGACATCGTCCGTGCAGTAAAGGATGTAGTATCGATGTTTTTAAAATTAATAATGAAGATATTACTGGACATTCGTTCGAATAACAAATAAAAAAAAAGTTTCACTTCAATTGTATGTTTAAGATCATTATTATTATTATTATTATTATTATTATTATTATTATTATTATTATTATTATTATTAGTAGTAGTAGTAGTAGTAGTAGTAGTAGTAGTAGTAGTAGTAGTAGTAGTAGTAGTAGTAATTGGGAACACAATAGTCGTACCAGTATCTACTAGCAAAAATTTGAAACTCTTATGTACTTATTAATTTCGTCTTCAATATCATTCTCGTCTTCTTTTTGAAAGATCATCGTTTTCGTCGTCGCAATCATCATCATCATCATCATCGTTTTCGCCATCATTGGAACACCATTAAATTGTGAAAGATTTTATAATCGTTTCCGTTCACCCTTTTGGTTATCAGATACCGACGTAGCTAAAAGTATTCTATTAGCCGGAATGTTTTCTGTGGGCGCTCATACTGGACACTTATAGAAATAATGAGAAAATACTGAATTTCTTTGTCGTTTATTATTTGGAGAAAAAAACAAAAGAACAAAAATCGAGCTTTTCTGTAATCCGAGTAACAGTCATCATCGCCATCGTCTTAGAAGAAAAGTAGTAAGAGTTTAAATTACTAATATTATTTTGATGTCGTTGTCATGCTGCTGTTGATTTTATTATAATTAATTAAAAAGTTGAAACGAAATAATTATAATTTTCTACCTTTTCTGATTATCTCACACCGATTAAGTTATATGCATTGATATTTTATTCACGGAGATTAAATCAAAAGCCGCGAATTAATTGACAAATAATCATACAATTTTACGAATGGGTTATCTAGTCTTCTGTTAAATTGTATTTCCGATGATCATTTGTCAAAGAAAGCGGATAACGACGTCATCACTCTTTAAATTGTACCAACTTGCACCAAACTGTATCGATTGAATTAAATTGTATCAAACTGCATTCTTGTTTTATTATTAGGAATTAATTATTAATTTCATGACTATTTACTTTAATACATTTTTTCCATTTTAATTATCTTTTCCTGGTTAGCTAAA